TATTTGTCTGTTTAAAGTTTGTGATCCTAGCATGATAGTAGTAGCTCAATGGAGTTTGTTTCTATTGTCAATTTTGATATTTAATGCTTCCGTTCAGGCCCTATATATTATATATATAACAGGTTAAGTGTTCGTTTCTGAAGTGGTCATGCCCAAACTTTTAGGGGCGGGTTTGGGGTGTGACACACTCGGCCCTCCGGATTTTCAAGGGCCGCCGAGGGCGCACCGGACACCACGCGACGTGCGGTGCTCTTCCAGTTGCTGAACCCTACCTCCGGCTGAGCCATTTCCAGGGTGGGCAGGTTGTTAAACTGAAAAGATAACTCTTCCCGAGGCCCCCGCCAACATCTCCGGACTCCCTAACGTTGTCGTCAGCCGCCACGTCCCGGTTCACGAATTTTAACCCGATTCCCTTTCGAAGCTCGCACTAAACGCGCTCTCTGTTGGGCTTCTCCTGACTCTTAGGATTGACTAACCCATGTTCAAGTGTCGTTCGCATGGCAAAAATGAACCAAGTAAAACATGAACAAGATACGCATTTGTGTTGCATTGCATGTGTTTGGATCGGACGTTAATCCAAATACGACAAATAGGGGATGTTTCATACTCGAAGTGATTAGACGTGTCGTATTTCTTGGTCACCATCACCCTTGATCATGCATGATAGGATGTTGGCCATTTGAGTCTTATTTGTGCATTCATGAAACTTGTACAAGCTTGGTCCTTTGGCCATCATGCATTGAGATGCTTGATTGGTGGCTTGAGAGCCAAGCGCCACACTCCTTTGAGCTTGAGAAATGATGAGGAGAGTGGCAGTACATACATTTCCTGCAAAATGCCTTGCTTTGCCTCTGTTGTTCTCTATTGCAGTAAAAATAGAAGTCTGGAAAAATGGGTGGCCGACCGACCACTTGCACTAGCCGACCGGCCAGATGAGGTAGTCGATTGGCCAGTTGCAGTAGCCGGCCAGCCACCAGTGCAAAGGTTGTCCAATGTGTTCATGTGTTAGAGCAGAGGCAGTCTGGAATATTGGTTCAGCGTTCAGAGATCAAGGCAAATGCAAACAAACGCAACCGGTGGCAAGGCGATGGATTTTCGGGAGGATGCAACCGAGCATGCATGTCTCCCTCGCCCACGAGGCCATTTTATTGCTTTATTAGCTAGTTGTAGCTAATCATTACAAGTGCTATAATTAATTAGTTTAATCTGTTTTGTAATAATTAGCTTAGCTTAGTCTAGCTTAGCTTATTTATTCAGACCCTCCTTCGAGAGGGTGTAATGTTGTAATAAGGGTGCGTGCGTGTGTGCATGTCTTTCAACCCCACATCTTTCTCCCTTTTATTTAATTGTTTTTGATGGTCAGATTAGGGCACGTTTTGATTAGCATGCCTTATGTTTGCATGTTTGCATCATTCATTTGTCTTGCATGCACCGGGCTCGGCGCATCATTCAAACTGCATTGTATTTCAATACTTATTTGAATACGTGTATAAAAGCATGTTATCAAAGTGTTGCAAATACCATGATTAGGTAGCCGAGCCTATTTAGTTGCATTATTGCATGTGTTGCATTAGGCATCTTGCATACTTAGGATCACGCATTGTTTTCTAACTAGCTTTTGTTTTTGGCTTGGAGTACTCAGTAAGCTTTTACGCTTTAGCATATTGCATGAGTGTGATTACCATAATGCCATGTTTCGCATGCTTTCCACGAGGCTATTTGTTTAATTGATAAACTGCATGAATGCCTGTGGATGAATGCTTTGTTACTTGAATTAGAACAATTCGATAAATGTGAGTTTTAAGCCCACTATGTGAAGTGGCAAATCATGTTTTAAAGCCCACTTGAGGGTGGCAAATCCGCCCTGTAGCCCTCTTTAGGGTGGCATTTTCAAACCATTTTCGAAAACAAACATGAATTGAGTTGTTTCAATTCTCACGATTTAGTCTATTCTTGCTTGCAAGCATCACATAGTAAAGCTAGATTAATAACCGGAATAAGAACACATGTGTTTATAAAACAACATATCATGCTTAGTAAAGGCTGATCCTTTGATCAGGCGAGCAGGGGTGCTCATTTCAGGACCTTCTCCTCTCGTACCCAAGTTCCCGAGCCGAGGCAACTTTGGTGATGACGGACACGTGGCCTTTGGCACAAGTCAAGATTTCCTAAATTTCCCAAAAACAAAATATTTAGGTAGTGACTCTATAATCTGGCAAAGCAGTCCAGTTTTGGCATTATTTGATTCAAAATTGATTTTCCAAAATGATTTGCCAGATTTGACTCTTTGATGTTTATCAATTTCACATTGCACTTTGTGAGATTAGATTCAGAACTGTGACAGGAGTCCGAACTATAGGAGACCAATTTGCACCTCTCCGAATGGAGGGCGCGCGAAGAAAGTCGAGTCTATAGTTTCTGGCGACTCTGTTGGGGATTTAGAAAACTTGACTCAAACTCATGATATGTTGTTTTATCTACATTTGTGTGTTTCTTTGCATTGCATTTGCATTGGTGCGCCTAAGTCACAGTGTTTGCCATCTGTTATTCCTAAATGGCTTGCCGGAGGCTCTCTTGGAAAAGCTTGCCATAAGGCTGATCAATTGCAGACTCTGCCACGATGGGAACACGAACCTTGGATCCGGATTATCGCTGTACCGTTTGATCCTCCTTTCACTTCTCAGTGTTAGGTGCAAAAGGTATATTAGGTAGTCTTGCTGAGGCACCTTTTTTGACCAATCAACCTAGTTGCATATCGGAAGCACCTTTTTTGGCCAATCAACCTAGTTGCATATCGGAAGCCTTAGAGACTATTCCAAACTAGGACAGGTTGCTCACCCGAATGCAGGATTGTTTGAAACCACATGTTTGCATAGTGAAACCCTAACTCCTGACGAAACTAGGACAGGGTAACCTTACCCCCTTATAGGGGTGTTTTGGCTCTCAATTAGCTGGTATGTGCTTTAGAGTGAACTGTACAGGGATGTGCATATCAGTTGCGAGTCTGGTATCTGATTTTGGGGCAGAATTCAATAAAGAGTACAATCATTTAGCTATGCTCATATCTATTCTGGTGAAATCAGGCTAAGGTGCTGTTTGTTTTCTCTTTTGCAAAGTAGTCCTGGAACCATAACTTCAGAAGGCTCCCATATCCCCTGGGTGCATTGGACTTGTGTTGATAGACTTTGACAGGTTGGAGATTTAGTTCAAGGGCAACCAGTGTTTCCTTCGCTAGAGGCAAGGCAAAGAAAGGCCAGACAGGGCTCATTGATTCAACTGATCCGACAGTCACCAGTCACATCACCTTTGTTCACACTCAGCAAACCGTGATGGCACAGGGTTCGGAAGAAGTTATGGCCATGATAGTGGCATTAAATCAGGGAACTGCCATGCAGGATGAGACCAATGTTGGAATGCAACGCCCATCTGGGGCACCTACCATGCATCCAATCTTAGGACCCCAACCGAACTTTGAACCACTTCTGCCAACTAAAGATTCACAAGGTCCGAATCCCCGAGAAAGGTTGCCTCAAGATCAAGTTTTCACACCTCTGGTAGGGCTGGTCGCGGATCGGTTTTGGCCGGGTGCGGGTCAAAACCGACCCGACCCGCACACGTACGGGTTGAAGAAAACAGACCCGCAACCACCCGCAGTGCGGTTCGCGGTTTGTGCGGGTGGGTCAGTTGGTTATGCGGGCGGGTGCGGTTCGATTTGCGGTTTGGGCTTTTTTTTTTAATTGGGCTTAGTTATGATATTAATTTGAACAAATTTGACATGTTGGGCTACTTTTTAAGCACTTTTTTTTTTATGGAAAAGTTATAAATTAAATTTCATTATAACATAAATGCCCATATAATGATATAATAAATTTTACATTCTTTCAAAATACAAAAATAATTGATAAAACTAATTACAAACTAAAACAACATTAAAATTCACACTAAAATCAATCTCCATCCATCCATAATCCAAAACTTACCTAAATTTTACATTCATCCAAAATGCAAAAATAATAATAATAACTAGTTATCTCCATCCATCCATAATCCAAAGTTTACCTAAGTTTTACATTCATCCAAAATGTAAAAATAATAATAATAACTAGTTATCTCCATCCATCCATAATCCAAAGCTTACCTATTAATCCAAAATGCAAAAATAATAATAATAACTAGTTAGAAACTAAAATAAATTAGTTTTCATCCATCCATCCATCCAAAATCTAAAGCTTACCTAAAATTTAGTGCTCCAATAAATTTTGCATTCATCCAAAATAAAAATAATAATAATAAAAATTAGTTACAAACTAAAATAACATTGTCTACAAACTTCATCCAAAATAATTTCAAAAGGTCCAAGGCTTCACTAAACTCTTTAGATCCAATGTCCAATGTCCAATCTCATCCAACAATCTGCCAAAAAAAATTCCGATGAGCCAAATGAATAAATATAAATAAATAGATATAAATAAATAAACATTAATCTGATCTCAACTAATTAGAAAAATCTCACACATGAGCCAAATGAACATTAAAGTTCAATTATAGCATCTACATTAGACTTTGGGGTTGAAGATGAACATGGCTCCAAAGTACTTAAAAGCATGAGTCAACAAGAGAAGATAAATAAACTTGCATAGTAAAAATAATAATAGAATTAAAAATAAAGAGATATTCACATATTACCCGAGTCGTATTGCTCAAATTCCTCCACATCATCCATTGCTTTTCGAAGAGAAATTGGAAGGTTGCTTTTAACCCAATTTTGTGTGCATACAAGAGCTTCAACCATGGAAGGGGCAAGTGAACTACAGAATGGATCAAGGATACATCCCCCGGTACTGAAAGCCGACTCCGAAGCAACGGTAGAAATGGGCATGGCCAACACATCCTTTGCTATTTGAGATAACACTCTATACTTTGTTGCATTATTCTTCCAATATTCCAATATCTCAAATGTCTGATTTTTGCAAAATGTTCAACCTCGCCCAAGTACTTGTCTAATTCCGACTTGCTTCCACTAGTGAAGCGCCCTTCCAAATATGAATTAAATTGGACTCCATTTGAGAATCCAAATCATCCTTATCAATCACCATTGTCTCCACTTCAGTCACCCTCGAGACACTCTCATTTGATGAATAAATTGTGGCATAATGGTTGTACAAACGAATCAAACAAGAAATAATTTTGTTCACCATCTCATCCACCTTCCTCTTATCTCCATGAAATATATTTGTAAAACAAAACTCCAAGTATGCTATCTTTTTTATAGGATCAAGGGCAACAGCAACATACAACAACAAATTAATCTTATTTCCATCCCCCCAATATTTGTTGAACTTTTGCTTCATACTCATAGCCATTGTGCACAAAACATCATCATTGTCAAAAATTAATTGATTAATTGTGCTTTCAATTTTAAACATCTCTTTATAAAATGCATTGGAAGTAACAAAAAGGGACCCGGAAAATTTCTTTGTTGCAAGATAGAATAGTTTTAAAAATCTCACAAACAACCTACATTTTTTCCAATCCTCCTCATTTGGAATCCTCCTAATCCCACCATCAACATCCTTGAAGTAAGTTTCAAAATTGGAGTCTTCATACTTCAAACGGTTAAAAGCCTTCTCAAACTTTTCAGCAGCCTCCAACATTAAATATGTGGAATTCCACCTTGTTGGTACATCTAGGCATACAAGAGCAGTAGTCACAAGTTTTAGATAGGCCGCACACTTCTTAAAAGCATCTTGCCGATTAGGAGAAGACCTCACATACCTGACTGCAAGTCTAATATTTGCAATAAAATCATCCATTTCCTTCAATCCATCACTCACAACAAGGTTTAGAATATGTACACAACACCGCATATGCAAAAACTCATGCTCCAAAATGGTCCCCTTCCAATATTTGGTATTCCTTCTCAAGTATTGAATGGTAAGATTGTTGGAACTAGCATTATCAACAGTTACAATGAAGATACTATCGATGTTCCACTCAAGCAAGCACAACTCAATTTTTCTACCCAAAGTTTCCCCCTTGTGATCTTCAACTTGTTGGAAGTTTATGATTCTTTTTTTGTAGTTTCCAATTATCATCAATGAAATGAGCCGTTAGACACATGTAACACAAATTTTGAATAGAAGTCCAAGTGTCCGTAGTGAAACAAATTCTACGACCCTTCATCAACCTCCTCAATTTATCCCTCTCATTGTTGAATATGTTTGTCACCTCTCTCGCTATGGTATGACGAGATGGGATTGGTGTGAATTTAGGAACGGCAACATTACAAAATCTTTTAAACCCAACTCCCCCCACAAATCGAAAAGGTAACTCATCAATAATCACCATCTCGGCAAGAGCCCTTTTACAAGCATCAAAACTAAAACTTGTTGCCACAACCTCAACACCCTCTTCGCCATTTTGTTTTGGTTTAAAACTCAATGTTTGTTGCCCATCTTTATCATTGTTTGGAAATTGTTTGCAATTAGGGGTATGACTTCTCAAATTACTAGTCCCATGAGTCCTAGAATCGGCCATATACTCTTTATAACAATACTTACACACTGCTCTACGTTTCCCATCTTCTCCTATAACCTTATCAAAATGGTCCCAAACCGAGGATGGTGCTCTCCCACCACTACTCTCACTCTTTCTTTTGTTCGGGGGTTTAGGAGGCTTAGATTCAGATGGGGAAACATTAGTTTGAGAATTAGATGATTCTGGTGGAACAATATGGCTTCCGGTAGATTCAACACTAGCATTGTCATCTTTATCCATTCAAACTGGTAATAAAAAATTAAAAATGTATGAGATAACAATTAAGTCATGGATGGTATAATAATTGAATCTAAACCATATACAATATCATACCAATACCATTTTTATTAAATTTATGGATAAATAGTCAAATAACATGTCTAACTTCATCACTATTGAAAAGATGTTTTTGTCTCCCCTTGGAGCTTTCAAGAGGGATTTCACATCCAACAAGGGAAACATAATGATTAATTATTTATTTTAAAGTAAATTCATTTCTGTCCCTTTTTGCATACAAGAAAATTCATCATTAATACAAGAAGAAAGCATATATAGAGAAGAAAGCATCTATAGAGCACATTACTCTGTCAAAAAAAATACAAAAAAGAAAAAAATAATAATTAAGCAGCTCACTCTAGTTTTGTCATGAAAAACGAAAATAAAACAAATGAAGAAAGAACAACATGAATAATTCAAATTTAAAAAAAAAATAAAGTGGGGAACAAGATTAAAATTAAGATTTTTATTTTTATTTTTTATAATTTTAAAAAGGGAGGGGATATTTTTTATAATCTTGTTATAGCTTGTTTTGATTGCCACAAAAAAATAAAATAAAATAAAATGTTGAAATCACTATTGAAAAGATGTTTTTGTTTAAGCAGACTGTCATTTTGGTGGTTGAATCCATTGCTCAAGAAAGGAAAAGAGAAAATTCTTGAGGACAAAGAGATACCAAAGTTGAGGCAAACAGATCAAGCAGAGACATGTTACAAATACTAATGGATCAGCTTGCCAAATCAAACAGAGAGCCATCAATCGAATGAAAGAGAGAGAGAGAGAGAGAGAGAGAGAGAGAACCGTACAGGGCTGTGTTGCTGCGGATCGCCGGTTGATTTGCTGCTGCCGATTGCCGGTTGCTTTGCTGCTGCCAATCGCCGGCGTCTCGCCTCGCCGCCGCTGCTGCTGCTGTCGATCGCCGGCGTCTCGCCTCGCCGCCGCTGCTGCTGCTGCTAGGGTTAGCGGCTGCTGCTAGCTAAGGAAGGTAATGAAAAGGGGGAGAGGAGAGAAAGAGACGGGCTAGGCAAAAACAATAAGAGCCTGCCCTAATAAGTAATAAATAAATAAGGTTTATTTTGTAAATATATAAATATATATAAATATTAAAAAAAAGTATTAATACGCAAGTCGCAGGTTGCGGTTCGGGTAGGGTCAAAACCGCAACCTGACCCGAACCCGATTTTTGGCAGAATCTTTGACCCGCACCCGCCCACCTACCTACATCGAAACCGCCCAAAAGGGTGCGAGTAGGGTAGGGTCGGGCAGTTTGTGCGGGTGGGTGGGTTCTATGCCCAGCCCTAACCTCTGGTGTAGCCTAATGAGAGGCTCTATTCCCTTGATATTAATGATCTCGATCCGACCGCGGTGAAAATTGCGAACCCTGAGAAGCAATTCAAAAAGGCACAGGGCCTTAACTCCATTCCCAACATTGAGGAGGGGTACACCGAGGCTACCGTACGACTCCCAGACAGATTCAAAATGCCACACATTGACCGTTTCAACGGGTTTGGAGACCCTATGGTACATATCCGGCTTTTCTTGGATGTTCTGAAACCGATGGGTCTGACTAAGCCTCAGAAACTCTCTCTGTATAGAAGAACCCTATCAGGTGTAGCAGCCACTTAGTACGCCAAGTTGGAGGATATAGTGAAACAGAACTGGAAATAGTTGGTTGAGGCCTTTGTTGATCAGTACTCTTACAATACCCAAGTTGAATTGACCACCCAAGAGCTTGAAGTTACCCACCAGAATCCTGTAGAGTCTTTTGTGGAATTTGTTGCAAGGTGGAGAGTAAAGGCAGCACAGATGACAGATCGCCCTTCTGAGAGGGATCAGGTGCGAATAGTGGTACAGAACCTTGAGCATGATATGTTGCAAAAGTTAATAGTCATTCCACTATTCACTTTCAAAAGTTTTCATGAACTAGGGGTTCAGATCTAGAGTGCGTTCAACAGAGGGATCATTCCCAGAACAAGTGAACTGACAAGGAGGATGAGTTCCGGGAGTACCCATGCTGGTAGTAGCACTATTCTCAAACCCACTGAAATCAATACAATCGCCACAGCTGACCCTTTTGCCAAACCAAGCCTACAAACAGCCAGCCCAACCCGAGTTCAAGGCAGAACTTTCACCCCCCTCTATATGAGCCTAACTATCACACTAAAAGTCCTGACGGAAAGAGGGTATCTCAAACCCCTTGATCCCCAGCCTCTGCCTGACCCACTCCCTGCCAGACATAACCCCACCAAATATTGCCTGTATCATCAACAGCGCGGTCATGGCACCGATCGTTGCTACCGCCTTCGTCATGAGGTCCAAAATCTCATCGACAACCAAACGATAGCTCCACCATAATACCCCAATGACCAAGTATCTCATCCACACCTTAACCTCATCCATACACTACTTCCTATCTACGATCCCAGCATATACATCACCCCGGCCCATCTACCCAAGCCTGTGGTGTTTATCCCAGAAAGCCTGGACTTATGCATGATGGATGCACTTAAACCCCAATCATCTCAAACCCATGAACCCACCACTTCTGAGCTGATGAGAATGATTTAAGATCTTCAGAGAACTGTGGCAGATTTAGCCTTTAGGGTTTTGGCTCCATCATCGACCACATCACATGCCAGAAATTTCACGCCAAAAAGCTCCCCAATCTTGGGACAGGCTACATTGGAAGAAGGCCAATCCCTTGGCAAAGTGGAGGCAAATGGCAAGAACAAGGTAGGGGCAGGAATTGGTCCCTATGAACATCTTCAGTGGGCTGTCGAGGCTTTGAAGGCCGAAGGACTGAACAAACAGCAAGTGCTGGCAGTTGTCGCAAAAACTATGGATGACACTTTTGTCGCTCGGGATGAGAGCATTCTAAATCAAGGGGTAGGCCGGGAGAAGGGCTGTCGTATCAGAAACGCCCCTTTCAGCTCCAATCCTACACTTGGAAGAGATCATCAAAAGTCAGCACCTACCAACCCTTTTGCCGGTACATCCAACACTGCACAAATCTCGAAGTACCAACCTCGAGGCCAAAGGGTCTTCGCCCCGCGGTATATGACCTTGTCCAAACCTCTCCAAATCCTTATAAGACAAGGCCATCTCAAACCCCTTGAGCCTCGGCCTCTCTCGTATCCCCTTCTAGCTAAGCATGATGCTGCCAAGTACTGTGCCTTCCATCAACAAGCTGGCCATGACACTAACATGTGTTTTCGCCTTTGCCACGAAATACAAGATCTGATTGACAACCAGGTCATTGTCGCACCAGGCTCTGCAAAGTCTATCGACGCTGGATCAGTGAACTTGGGGGATAATGTGATCATTTGATCGGGGGATGAACCACTTGCTGATGGCACTTAGTTTACTCCAGATATGGTGGCTGGCACGCACTATTTTGAGCAATTGGCGAATGCTGTTTATTGTACTCTCTGACTTGGGTATTGGGTCGGTCTTCTTGTGTTATATTGAGTCAGTCTTTCCATACTAAGTCAGTTGAGTCTATCTTGTTGTATAGAGTCAGTCATGTGGTGTTAGAGTCAGGTGATTTCGGGGGTGTTACCTCAGACATCACTATTTTGTTTTGTGTTTGTCTTTTACACTCGCTTTCTTTTGAGTCTGTTTCTGCTATTAAGCCAGTTATGCCAAAGGATCTGAATGAAGCAGCAGTGCTTTTCACCTACTTTTCTATGCCTTGAAATCATTGCGTTGACCTAAGTTTTTTAAAAAATTTCTAACACTGTGTTGAAAAACAAAGAGGGAGGAATTCCTCGGGATTTGCAAAAATTTGGTCAACTAAGAGAAAGAGAGGCATGCTAAGCCCTTAATGAATGAGATCATGTTTGTTAATGTGAGTACTGAGAAGGATCCTGGCTTGATCCAGATTGGTTCTACATTGTCTTCAGCACGAGCGACTAGTCGCTTTCTTAAAAGATTTCAAAAAATGAAAAATATTTTTCGTGGTCCTGCAAAGACCTGCGTGGAATCGCTCTCGAGAGATATTGCAGCATAGGATCACTCTTGGCCTCAAGACTCTACCTCTTTTGCTTTCAAACCTTGGACTTTGATTCAGAATGTTCAAACATTCAATCACAACATAAGGCTTGTATGGCCGGATCGGAAGCAACCTTGAACTAGGGGCAAGAAAGTCAGATCAAGAAAGTCAGATGTCATCAAAGAAAGCTTGCGAAGCTAGATTAGAAGTAACCCTTGAACTAGGGGCAAAAATGTTAGATGTGCTCAAAGATTCAAATATGGGTCATTTCGCCAACCAATGAAGACTGGCAAGAAAGCCAAATCCCATAATGGAGAAAAGAAAGTTTATGCTGAAGGACAATCAAGTTCTTATCCACAACACTAGGGGCAAATTCAGACCCGATTGGATGGACTCCTACATCATCAAAAAAACAACAGCCATTCTCCTGGATTTAGATGGCTTCAAAATTCTACAACTAGTCAACATGGACAAGTTACACCTTTTTATCCTTGAGAGGCTCGCTAGGCCGAAACCCGAGAAGGCGACCTAGGCAAAAATTAGAGCAAATAAAGAAAAAAAGAAAAGAACAAAATGAAAAGAAAAATAAAAGGAATAAAAGAAATGAAAAGAAAATGAGAAGAAAAATGAAGAAAAGAAAAGAAGAAAAATAAGAAAAGAAAAGAAAAGATGAAAGAATGAAAAGAAGTGAAAAACAGGCTCGCAAGGTTGAAAACCTAAAAGGGCAGCCTTGGAAAAGTTAGAGCATAAAAGGAGAGTGTCAATCACTCAGTGCACCTTAACCCGGAACTATGTCAGGCCTGATTCCCATGTTTGGGATACGTAGGCAACTTCACTTAAAGTTCGGCCGAATCATTTTCAGCCTGCTTGGCTCATCCATGTTGATTGGTTTATCCTTGTTCAAACTTGGTTATCATATCATCAGTGCAAATTGGCTCGTCTTCGTTCAAATCAGTTGTTCTATTCCGTTGGAAGATTCAGCTGCAGGCGATTCAAGTTCAGATCTGAGGTTGTGCATTCGAGAGTAGATTCTGTGTTGGTCGAGCAGTGGCCATTTGCAAAAATAGTTTTTGAGTATTTTTTTAAATGAGGTTGACTAATTCTCAACAAATTATTCCACTTTTCCAAAACTAGACCATTTCTTGGACCTAAAAAAAGGAAAATTTTCAGTGCTACAAACTGACTTGCATGATTTCAAATTAAGAAAATTGAACAAGTAAGTTAATCTAACTTTCATATGGTCAAATTGTTTTAGCGAGAAGCCAAAAAATAAAAAAAAAATGGTCAAAATGATGAACTAGGGGCATAGTTGTGTCAAGTTTTCTGTCTGTTCCCCGTTATAACATACTTCCAAAAAGGCACCATATTTGCTGGAGAGGCACTCTACTTGCCAGAAAAGGGCACAACTAAAGCTCACAGCAAAGGGCTGAAAGCTCTCACATCCTCTAAACAGTGAGGTATCAAGCCAAGTGCGAAGCACGAACTGGAGCGGGATGTTCGGTTCCTTCATCCAAAACGATCACACCCAATTGGCATCTGACCCGGAATGGAGACGTAGAAACACTATGTGTCAGACCAATCAATTGTATACCTAGCTGGTGGGACGTGTTGTAACTCACCTTGATCAAGCTAACCAGTGGCGTCGCCAACTGATGTCAGTTGCAGATCTGCTGCACATCCAGTCGCATCACAACCCCTCTGTGGAAGAAACTCACTAGTTGTAAGCAAAGGAATGAGAAATCTAGTAGAATACTAGGGGCAAGAGCCACATAACTTCCTGTTTTTCCACTCAACCACCTAGGGGAGGGATAAAAAATAAGAGAGATTGAAGAATAGAGAGATGTGCGTTGAGAGAAAAATAAAGAAAAGGCTTGTCGAGAAATAGAGATTGAGTGTCATAGTGATGTGAGAATCACAAATAAGAAAGGGTGGAAACAATACCCAGAGAAGCTGTGGGCTCCCTGTGAACTGAGAGGTTCTCTCGCCATTGGAACACATCTGAGTGTTGTGTGTGTATTTTTGTTTGTCTCAATTCTTGTTTTGTTTTACCTTTGTTGAGTCGCTTTGACTGTGGTTAGTCGTAGGCTCAATACCCGGTTAAAAACTTATTTCTCAATTTTAATTTCAAAAAATAAATTGTCTTGTGCTCAAAGTGTTGTGTCGTTCTTCATATATGTGCAAAACAGGATCCTTTCTTTCATAAAACTACAGGGTTCAACCCAGGTCATGTAAGAACAATAAAACCAGGACCTATCTGAAGTTATAT